ACGTTCCAGCGGTTCTTGAAATGAAGTACGAGATCCCCATCCCGATTCCTCTGGCACCAAAAGAACGATGGGACTTCCAGAAATTATCGAAGGCGCTCCAGACGGGCACAGGACTGGATGATTTCCATCGGGAGTTGGAACGAGCTATGCAGGCACAAGCTGATTTCTTCACGGAGTGTGCCACGCAACATCCACGCACTGATGATGTTTTGATTCTTGGGCGAAGATCGCACAATAGGTTGGACTTCGACATTTTTCACTGGAACCGAAATCCACGGACACAGCATAACACCGATTGCAGCAAGAACGCTTATCCCTGGTAAGACAACGAAAACTACACCGACTCGAGGCAGCTGGGCATTGGAATTATTATGGCCACCTCCCTGACTTTACTGATGAGTATATTGATGTCCTGGCGAGGATAAACGCATACCATCCCAGCCTCGAAGCTGGGCTCGTCGCCGCCGAGCCGCGCACCGCGAACGCCTCCATCAAGAGCTACGGGAGGCACGTTCCTTAGGGCAGCAGGCTGAAGCACACAAGCTGGCACGATTACTCTCTGGCCGATCAACTGGTGTGAAGAATAGGCGCTACAATACACTTTCTTCGTACAAGCCATCGCTGGGCGAGCTGAAGGGACACCTAGCACAACGAGGACCAGACGGAGGAATGGAAGCGACCTACATACCTGACATGAATGAGATGCTAAAAAACTTCCTGGGCGAGGAGGCCACGATCAAGCGTCGCAACCACAACGTGGAGATCACGACTTCAGTCATGGTCAGACAAATGGTATGGAATTTGCGTAAAGCTCGTGGCAGACGTTGCGGACCAAGGTGGGGTGCACCATCGGAATTGGCTCTTATTGTTCTGGAACCTGGACATTTATCCAAGCAGCGGTATTCCAAGTTTGGTCTGGGGCATGGTGGCCACTCAGATACTACTGAGAAGCAGGATGAGCGACCAGGTTTGGGTCAACATCATCACTCTGGTGGACGCGCCACCAACCCCAGTTTTTCAGCGCATGGAGAGCACGCCCTCAATGACGAAGGACCACGTATACGCTGGACTACGGCCGACGAGGGGGAGAGAGACCCCTTCGCAGAGATCGGCAGCATGGGCTTCGACCTGCGCATGGAACCGCACGAAGGACTTGACGGGCAAATCGCCCCCCCCCCCCCCCCCCCCCCAACTTCTCAGTCGGCACAAATACTTAGTGCCCAACCAGGCCGTGCGAACCCCGACGACCAGCGAGCCCCTGACGGACGTGAGCACATACTTGCAGCCGCTGCAATGATGACGCGAGCGCGCCTGGAATTTGAAAATGTTCTGACCCGGTCTTTCGAGGTGAGACAGCTGCCCACCAAATCTAGTATCACTGAGGGGATCCTGCTTGGCAAGGCTAACGGAAAGAGCAACATGGTCAGCCAACGCATAGTACACTAACCGGATGTGGTTTGGAAATATTGGTATTCAGTGCTATATAGCTGGGGGGGGGGGGCAAGATGAGGCGCAGGACAAATCGTTTTCTGGACGATGGCATGGTTTCTTGAGATATCGGGGGAGGGGGGGGGGCCATACTAGTACAACTACGTCTAGGATGGTCTTTCCGAAAAGCCAGGACCCCCCACACACGCGCATTTGCGAGCTTCACGACATGACGAAGGTATTCTTGTGTCCAACGACTGAGGACCTTTTAATGCACACTTCTGAGATCATGGTGCGCGAGGGCCCCCAGGATTTCGCGAAGCAGCGCCTGATCAACAGTATAGTTTTAATCGAATTAGACAACAAGCTTGAGGCTTTTATTGGCAAGAATGGGGGGCTCCAAGGATCCTGCGAGGCACCTCGGCAATCCGTCGGCGTCTTCGACAAGTGTTATGATGAAATCACCGAGCTCGACGGGGCCCCCATTTACCTATCAGGAGTCTTTGGGAACACAGCTCTGGACTGTTCGATGGTAGGTTTTGCAGATGATTTATTTCGACGGCGACTTTTAGAAGATCCCTCGGCGTCTGGGGCTCTAGGGGCAATCCAGGAAGGCGACTCGAACATGAACCAGGCTCTGGACAAATGGCGTTTTCGGCAGAATATGCAGAACACAAAGACATCATACCATGTTTGGGATCCACCAAGGAAAACCGTCGCCTTCAGGAAATATGCCCTGAGTCCTGTGGCACCGTTCGAAGCCACGCTAGGCACCTGGGGGCTCGGCGCCATATGAACGGCTCTAACGCTCCAGAAGTGCAGTGCAGAATCCGCTCTACGCACGCGGGCTGGTCGGTCATCGGTCTATTGTGGCACGAGCGTGGATTGCATCGCATCAAGCGCGAGCCCTTTCTTGGCCAAGTTGTGGAAAGTGGCATCACGGGTTTAGAAGCATTTGTCCTTGAGCCAGCAGAATATCAAATAATCGATTTCTGAAGTGTAAAATACCTACGAGTTCTATTGCGAGGTGCTGCCACTTCCTACGATGGGCCACGCGTTCGCACACTTCGGAATTCAGAGGTGCTCTACAGATTTCGCATCCTCCCTGCTCGGGGAGAGTTGGCAGCGCGCAGGATCAGGTGGCTTCAAGGCATGCTCAACCACCGCCGCGCCCACAGCCAGACTTCTGCTGCGATTTTCGGTCATTTACCGGATGAGCGACCGACGCTGTTGCCAGACGGACAGCTCAGTATCGACGCAAACCCGTGGGCAAAAGAGTTTCATCGCAGTCTGTACCTCTACGAGGGGTGAGTGGTACCGAGAGTTTTTTTCTAAGCTTGGGAAGCGGCTGGTTTCTCATGGAAGACCCTATCCGACCCCAACTCCGACTCGTTCCACGAATTCACTCGCATCGGCCCCTTCGATCTTAAGAGCAGCAGCGTTCACAAATTATGATAAATGGCGCACACTATTTCCAGAAGTACATTGCCCCGCAGCCAAAAGTGAAAACGTATACACATGGGTGATCACGGACCCCTAGGGAAACCCGTGTGGCCTCCAGTTCGACACCTACAGGGCTCTTATGGGACATCAGACAAACGGACACAAGATGAAGTACATATTGCATCGTGGCGCTAGATCTAACCAATGCCCTAACTGCATGGGTAGATTCAAAGACGTACATAATGCTCGCAAGCATTTGAAACATTCTTATAGGTATGGCAGATGTATCATGGGTAGAGCTCACATGTCTTGGGGACCAGAGCAGAAGAACGAGTGGACATGCCCTCTGTGCCCGACGTCCGTAGACTTTCAATCGAGCATACAGTATTTTCGGCACCTCCAAGACGAGCGTCTACCTCCACCCCATCCCGTCACTATCTCATCATGCCTGGCGCCCTGGCGGCATCGAGCGGGGGAGCAGCAGCCTCTGGCGGCGACGGTGGACAGGGGCAACGCGATGAAAGGAAAAAGCTACGGACCGAGGGCGGCGCGAAGGAGGACTCACAGAAGGTGGCAGCCGAGATCCCCGACAAGCAGAAGAAGCTCTTCGCACTCCTGCTCAAGCAGATTCTCAGGCTCAGCCAGCAGTGCCGCGACATGTCAGGAGTCATCTTCGACACCCTCATCGCCCCGATGACGGCCGCATTCATCGCGATGATGAGCGAACAGACCGTTGCCTACGCCAACGGAACCAGGGCCAAGGGCAAGGAACGCACACTCGGGCCCCCGCACATCTACGCGATTGGCGGACGCATCAAAGGGCTCCTCACTTACGGCGACAGTCTCGGAGCCCAGAACCACACCGACCTACAGACGGCGTGGACGGAATACGACGGGTACTCAGTCGAGCAGAAGTGCGAGCTCATTCTATTCTGCCGCCAGGACAAGGTCTACCAGAAGGAGCGTCGCAGGATCACCTTTTCAGAGGCCAGCAACATATGTACACGTACGCGGTTAGCTTCCCCTGGAGGGCGTTTGAACGAGGACGTTCGTGCACTCAAGATCGCGGAGGGCGTACATGTACATATGTCGTTGCTCGCTCACCTTTGCAACCAGGGACGTGAAGTTTCGGACCACCCTCATGGCGTGCTTCGCTCAGGTGCCCCAGACGCAGCGGAAGTTCGGACGAGCCCCAGCATCATTCATGGAGCGCGAGATCCAGACCTCCCTGGAGGCTCTGCTGAAATAGGCGCCCCCTTCGGTCAGCATCGTGGCGAAAGCCAGATTCTGGGATCCGTCGGCGGCGGTGACCTGCGCGCTGAGGGGGCGCCTCCCCCCCCTCGAACAGCATCGCGGCGCAAGCCAGATTATGGGATCCGTCGGCGACGGTGACCTGCGCGCTGCCAAGAGGGGGGGATTGTGCGAAGATAACTTTGTTCATATTTCGGAGGCATCAGTACCTACTGAAGCTGATCAAGTACGAGCGACCTTCAACATATCCGAGATCGGTTTTCGTTATCACGCTCCAGTTCCCGAAGGCCGCTCTGATGATATTATCCGGGAAATACCCGATATACGCCAAGACATACTGAGCACCCCATCGAGACCTACGAGGGCAAGCTCTGCTACCTCTTCCTGTAAGCCCGTGCGCTCCGACCTCTCTGGACCCAGGTTTCAGAGTCCTCCGCCCCCTCCCCCCGCTCCTCCTCGAACCGAAAAGCAGGTAGTTACTGAATAGTTGGCCTCCAGAGGGGTCTACCCAGGGTCTCAGAGGTTTGCCAGTTTTGCCAGCAGTAGGAACATCCTTGACATTGCTAAGAGAGCAAGCGGTCAACCCTGAATATCGCCCGCATCAGACTCCTGTGGCTACCTTATGCGTCGGTGGCTGCAGGGGCCAGGACGGCCCCGTGCGGGGCCACGTCCGCGGCCCTGGTGCGTAGAGCTTCGGCATAGGCATTCACTCCAAAGAGAAGGTTCACCGCGCCACATTGTCTCCAGTCAGTCTTGAATGTTCAGGGCCCACTGCTGCGCGTTTTTGTAACTAAGTGGGTACAGCACTCACTGGACAATCAGACAACGTGGCGTTAAGGGTGTGCGTATCGTATCGTATCCTCCTCGTGCCCGCCGAGGAGCTCCGCGAGCGCTGGCTGGAGCTCCGCGCCGAGCTGCGCGTGGCTCGCCCTGCCTGGCTCTGGTCTTGGCTGCGCACCGTCGTCAAAGGCTGGGTCACGTCAGGCAGGATGCACGTCATCGCCCCCCGCTCCTGCCTCTTGGGCTGCGACGCGCAGGACGACCTTGCCCACTACCTGATCTGCCCGGTGCTCCGGAGCGCCGTCGCCGCCCCCGCTGAGCCGAGTGAGCTGGGTTGCGGCACCGTTTTCCTCGGGCTCGGCCACCAGCTCGCCCACCGCGTGCGCCCGCGCATGGCCTGCGTCCGTGCCGTGGTGTTGGCCACGCAGCTGTTCCATATCCTGAAATGGCGGGTTGATTGCAGCCTGCCCATCCACGGCGCTGCTGTCGCCGCCGCCCGCGTAGCAGCCATGCATCGCTTACAGGCCTAGTGGAGCTCCGCCCGCACTTGCTGCGCCGAGCTTCGTGCCATCCTCCTCCTCCTCCTCCTCCTCCTCCTCCTCCTCCTCCTCCTCCTCCTCCTCCTCCTCCTCCTCCTCCTCCTCCTCCTCCTCCTCGTATTCCTCCTCTTCCTCCTCCTCCCCTCCTCCTCCTCCTCCTCCTCCTCCTCCTCCTCCTCCTCCTCCTCCTCCTCCTCCTCCTCTTGACGCACTGGCTCGACGTGCGCCACGTTTTCAGCGCCTGCAGCCTTGGCTTCAGCCCCTGGGCGCGGTCGCGACGTCGCCCCGCGCCCGCTACCAGGTCGCCCCAGCGCAGAGCGGACGCTTCGGCCACTCAAGCTGAAACTTTTCCCGCGGTGGGTGCCCGCTGACCCCGCCTGGTTTCTGCGGCCACCGCCCTCCTCGTTCCCATCCTCCGCTGCCGGTCAATCAATACGGCGCGCGTCCCAGGTTACCAGAGCGCGCGAGCAGATCACCTCCGCCGCGCCGCGACGAAAAAATGTGCGGCTTCACTGTCCAGCCTTGCTCTTGCACTGCGCGCCAGCCAGTCGCGCGTGGCCCTGCCCGGGTGCGTCTTCCCATCTGGCCGCCCTTTTGGGGCTGCCCTCCCAACCATGGTGTTGTTGCATTCGCGCCGCATCGCCGATGCATTGGCGACGCGGCTCGATGTGGAACCCGATTTTCTCCATGCCGAATGCGGCAACGTATCACCGTCGGCGCTGATGCGTAATCAATGCGGCGCGATCTTCCGACCCCGTCGGTTCGGCTCCCATTGGGGAGGCTTGCGTTCTCGACCACAGATCCCCGGGGCCAATGTGCTCGTCCGATGTTTTTGTCGGTGGCCCCATGCCGTAGAGCCTGAAAATCACCCCTGGGCGCCGAGTGTAGGAGGCAGTCTGTCCCGAAGGAGGGGTGCAACGACGGCGCGGACTGTCAGTTTTGCCACCTCTGCGAGCCGGGCGAGCGGAAGCGTCGCAAGAAGGAGCGCATCACCAACAGGCGGGAGATGCGTGAAGATGGCCGACGTCGGCGGCAAGAGGTCGCCAGGCTGCGCTCAATAGCGGCGCAGGCCGGGTGACGCGCGAGCTGCCCAGCCCGAGGGTCTCAAGGTTTGGGGCCCTTCGGGCTGCCGATGCCTCCAGAGGCCTGTTGGAAGGGAGGGGCTTCTGGGAGTGCCCGAGGGAGTCCCGGACCTCCGACCGCGTGATGTTTTTGGCCCTGGCGTTCGTCTTCCATGTCGGCCTCCTGCGGCCGTGCTCTGGCCCCGGGACCTTCCCAAGAAAGGCGCGGGGTGGAGAGCCAGTCTTGCAGGGTCGAGAGCTCCGGGGGCCCACATAATGAAGACAGCATGTTCGGCGGAGGTTGGGGACGTTCGTGGGCAGCGCGTCCGAGAGGCCAAGGCCTAGTCGGAGTCCTGTCTCTTTGATATTGTGGCCACCCTTGGGCTTTCGCGGGGGCCACTTGCGCCATCCTGGCTGTCCGCATGGCCATCTTTCATCACCGTCGGAAGTATCCTTACCCCCGCCGGGGCAGGGCAAGTTGGCTCTTCCACCTCGGGGGGTGTAGATTGCCCAGCGAGGCCAAGGTTTCCCCAGTGGGGGCGGAGATCTTGGGCCATCTGAGACGCATCTTGGGCCATCTGGGACGCATCTTGAGCCATCTGGGACGCATCTTGAGGCATCTGGCATGCATCTTGAGGCACCTTGGGCCATCTTGGGACGCACCTTGAGGCATCTTGGGAGGATCTTCGCACAGAATATTGAGCCATCTGGGACGCATATTGAGGCACCGTTGGCCCTCTTGGAGAGGCACCGGGCACCGAGGAGCCAGGACGACCGCCGGGGTTCCGCAGAGGAACGGGGAGGAGGAGGAGGAGGAGGAGGAGGAGGAGGAGGAGGAAGAGGAGGGGATCGCGAGGGGGGGCGGCCTCTTCGATCCTCCTCGTGGGGCCCCCCATACCCTGGCTGGTGGGCGGGGCTACTGGACTTGGACCACCACCTCGGGGCTTGTCCCCTTGGTGGTGGCGCGATGTCTCTCCTCCTCGCCCGCCCTCTCGAAGGCCTCCGAGCATTTCCGAGAAGCTCCCCCCACGCCTTCCTGGATGGCAAGCCCCGCTAGGAGGCGGCGAGGGGGGGGGGGGGCGAAGGGCCCAGGGGCGGGCGTCCCACGCACCCGCTGGGGAGCCTCGCCGAAGACATGGACCGTCGGCGCCCCTGGGTGCGTACATGTCTTGCTCCCCCTTCTGGGCTCTTCGCCCCGATCGTCCCCCCCGAGCCGCCGTCGTCGCCCCCGGCCCCCTTCCCCCCTTGTCGCGCCGCCAAAGGGGTGGGGGTCAGGGGGGCGAAGGCAGAAGGGAGAGAGGCCGGCGGGGCAGTGGGGCTGGCTTGGCGGGCGCGCCCAGAGGCGATTCCTTGAAGGCTCTCTGGGCGCTCGTTGTCCTTCTACGCCTCCTCCACCTCCTCCTCCTCCTCCTCCTCCTCCTCCTCCTGCTCCCCCTCCCCCTCCTCCTCCTCCCCCTCCTCCTCCTATGCCTCCTCCTCCTCCTCCTCCTCTTCCTCCTGCTCCCCACCATCCACCCTCCTCCTCCTCCTCCTCCGCCTCCTGCTCCTCTTCCTGTTCCTCGTGCTTATGGTTTTCATAATCCTTCGCCTCCTTCTCCATCCCTTTTCCTTAAAAGAAGTTCTTTCCTGGCGCACCACCAGGTATATCCATTGGATGGGCTGGGCGTTTCGCCTGAGACTTATTTAAAACATATGTTCTCGAATATGCGCTATATCTATAACAAAAAACGCAAGCTTCACTGATGGAAGGAGGTCGGTCCGTTTCAAACTGGAGATTTCGCCTTGGCGCTGCGCATACCTACCAAAAGCAGGCACATGGTTGAAGGCGGGGCAATTTGGGTTCTCGCCGAAGCGCTTCGCAGATTTCCGCAAGATCGGCTACACGGATGGAGGCCGGGCTCAGTTCAACATGAAATTCTCGTCTTGAGGCCGCGCGCAATGGTGTTGAAGAGTCTATGAGCTAATTGGTGGAGGTCAGATCATGTTCAAAAATTGGTTCTCGACGAAGGGCCACGCACATGTGTCTAAACATATTGGAATGGTAATTAACACGGACGGAGGCCGGATCGTTTTCAGAATGGGGATCTCGTTTGAGCGCTGCGCGCATTTGTTTTTTTAGTAGGGGCAGTCACACGGATGGATGGCGGACCTTTTTCAACAATCTGTTGTCGTTTGAGCCTTGCTCGAAAGTACCCAGTTGCCTGCGGCAAGTCCCTCCACCGTGCCAGCCCAGCATTTTGGGTGGCGTCTTGTCGAGGGGGCACGGGAGGCTGTCAAGTGTGATGCTTCGTGTCTCCAGGATTGGGGGAGCCGTGATGATGAGGAGGAGGAGGAGGCGCAGGAGGAGGAGCAGGAACAGCAAGGCCGTCACATATGACATATTCGTCTTCACTCTTTACTTCGAGGAGCTCTCATGGAACTCGTTTGGGTCGTCTTGTGGCTGTCTTGGCATCTTGTGAGGAAGGCTTGGGGGTCCCTTGGGATCCTCTTGGGCCTTTTACCGTCTTGGGGCTCTCTTGGGACGTGTGGGGACCCTCTTGGCCGTATAATGGGTGCCTAGGGGCCATCGTGGGGCCGTCTTGGCGCCGTCTTGGGCAGTCGAAGGGCCTTCTCAGGCTACCTTGTGTCCCACTGGAGGCCCTCTTGGGCAGTCTTGGGGGCCCTCTTAGATGCTTCATAAGCCCTCGTGGGGCCATCGTGGGCCATCTTTGGGGGCCGTCGTGGGGACCTTTCGGGCTGTCTTAGGGCCATCGCGGAGGCTTCTTGGGCCGTCATGAGTTGACGGTCCATGAAAAGGCGAGACTGCGGACATGATTCAAAAAAGGAGCGGAAATGCACGATTGTGCTTTCTTCGGGCCCTGCTGGAGGTCGTCTTGGGGCCCCTGCGGACCCTCTTGGAGACATCCTGGGCCGTCATGAGGCCATGAGGCCATGCTCGGCCGTCGTGGGGCCATCTTGGCCCGTCTTCGAGGCATCATTGGGCAATCCAGAGGCTGCCTCGGTCGCCTGCCCGGGCCGTCTCGGAGGCCCCGGTGCGCGGGCGCATCGTTTGCTGGTTGTTTGTTCCAGGGGTCGCGGCCTCGGGAGCAGGGGGTGCGCATGCGCTTGTCTGCGCGTAGAGAGGGGCGCTGACTGAAGAGTAGAGAGGGGCGGGGGGCCCTGACTAGGGTACAGAAGCCTGCAGAGCAGCACCCGGTATTCTGCGCAGCACGCCCACATCGTGCAGGCACGGTGGCAGCGTGCCACGTGTGTGCTGATGTGCAGCGCTCACGCGCACGGAGGTTGGCTCGTTCAGAATGGAGATCCCCTGGGAGTTATTCAGCGAGAACGGCAGCAAGTGTGTCACTGGTACGGAACAGCTACACTTGCGGATGGCACTGTTTGTAACTGCGGGGTTCGCTTAGGGCTGTTTCAAATTGAACGACCAGAGGCTCAAACAGATGTAACAATTGCACGGGTGGGTCGAGGGCGGTCCTTGTTCGACCAGAGTTGCATGTCTGCACAACACCCACACGGATGTCGGAAGTTCTTCTTCCAGGCGGGGTTCGCGTCGCATTGTATAGTCCTACATTGTCGATCTCTTTACAAATCGCGAGGAGGATGCCAGACAGTTCCCTTTCAGACAGGGCTTTCGCTTGAATGGCAAGCCCATGAGGTGATTTGATTCGAAGGCGGGCGCTTCTTGTGACAAGAAAGGCCTACAGTGATTGCAGACGTGGGACGGGAGGGTGCACTGCAGCACCGTTGGTACATCCTGGGCTTACTCTGCTCCTCCTCCTCCTCCTACTCGTACGTTCTTGTTTTCTCCTCCTCCTCCTCCTCCTCGTACTCTGGTCCCCCTCCTCCTCCTCCTACGTTTCTGTTTCCTTCTCCTCCGACCGGACGTGCCCGCAGGCCAGACCGAGGGCGCTCCGTCGGAGAGTCCCCCGGCGGCGCACGGCCCTGCCACTTCAAGAGCCGCCGTCGCACGGGTGGAGGGCGGGTGGTTTTCAGAATGGGTTTCTCGCCCGAGCGTTCAGTCGGGCGTGTCCCTCTTCGGGGGGAGTGTCCAAACATAGTCAAAAATAGTCGGGGGCGATTTTTGTTAGTCATTGTGAGCATTTGGGAATCTTTGTGGGGGTATTTTTATTGTTCGCCCAACATCCCACTGTAGGGGGACACGCCCGAGCTAACCCTAGCGCCGCGCACATTGGTCTCAAAGGCTGAAAAACATCTACGGTAGGTTCGCGTCGTGTCGACTGGGGGCGAATTCGCCGCCGGCGTTCAACGCTGAACGCCTCTGGCGACCCACAATCAGTCGATGTTGAACGATCTAACGTCTTGGAAACCGCCGATCGTTCAAGGTTGAGCGATCCAGCGCGGCGTCAGGAATCAAGGCCAGGGTTGGCACGAGCCGAACCTACCGTGCAGGGATACGGCCGGTGGTTTTGGAAGTGGAGCTCTCGCCTTACCAACGCGCACAGTCGCCGCAGAAGCTCACAGCGACTACAAGGATGGAGGGCTGGTGGTTCTCACGACGGGGCTCTCGTCTCTGCGCCGCGCACGTTCGCTTTCAAGAGCTCGCAACAGTCTCAAGGACGGAGGGCCAGGGGTTTTCAAAATCTAGTTGTCGCCTCAGCGCCGTGCACATTCGTTGCAAAAGGTCGTAGAACGTATTAAAAGGATAGAGGGTGGATCGTTCTCAAAGTTTGTTTCTCGGTTGACACTTCTCCGAAGCGTCAGGTTGTGCGACGCTTACACGGATGAAAGGCGGCTTCTTTTCACCAGTGGGGTTCACGCTTGAGATTTCGCAATGTTCACCACCAGTTGTTGTTGTTGTTGTACAGCACATTTACACGGATGGGGGCAGATCCGTATCAAAACGGGGTGATTGTTTGATGATTATTTGAGTTGTAGTAGTCTATCGCCATGCGTCGCTTGGAGATAAAAGCTGAAATCATGAAACGGAACGGGGTTTCGCCTGCACGGCAGGCCAATCTGGCGCTCGCCATTCGAGGAGGGCGCATCCCGCAGCGGA